TTTTCTGCATGGCCAAGGCTACTCCGTGGGTAGTGGAGAGCGCGCTGGGCCATGAGAAGCGCAAAGTCAGGCTCGGAAGTATTACTTTTGCAGAGAGAGGATTATGCCGGAACCAGATAAAACTTCACTAAGAAAACAAAGGCGACTGCTGTTTAAAAACCCACTGTTCATGTTCCTCTTGTGTGCAAGAGTGCGACAAGACAGCACAAGGCAGCAGCGCAGGGCACGAGCAGAGACCTCAGCAGCTGAACTGCTGCAGCCTGAGCCCACCAGCATGAACAGGACCTGCAGCCACGGCCGCACTCTGCCATGGCACAAACCCTTCAACGAGCCACAGAACAGTGCCCAACCTCAGCTACAGAAGGGTCGGCTGGGAACGAACACACTACACTCTCCGAACTGGCAAAATCTGCATTTAATTTACAACATAGTAAAGGTTACAGGTAAAAAGCTCAACAGAAAGTGTGAAAAGGCCTATTACATATTACACAAGTGTACAAACTTCTGTACAAAGCCCCTAGATGTTACAATGTCCCCTCCTGTCCTGGCCAGCTATGGCCCCTAAGCTCTAAAATAATGAGAGCTTCTTCAAACCCAGGGAGGAAAAGAGCTTTAAAACCCAATGAGCAGTAAAAGCTTCCCTTTTCAAGAAAAATCTTGCAGAGAGCCACTTGCAAATAAACAAGAAACCAACCCCCCAAAAAAACATTAAAAAAAAAAGGATGAAAACCTGTTCAACTTTTACTTGCCCTAACTAGTCTTACCCTAAAGAGTTGCCTTCATAAAGCAGACTGGCTGGAAAAAGAAAATTCTATGTACCAGAAAGAAGCAAAACTAAAAAAAAAGGGAGAAAGATTTAGAGTCCATGTGAAGTGTTTGGAAGCAGAACAACCGAGGACTGAATCAACAGCAACTAAACACAGCGTGGTACAGCTGCATGTGGAGAAGGTACCGTGTTCATCCGTAGTCTGACAAGACGTGATGGTGTGGGGAGGGGAACAAACTGGGCTCTAAAGTCATCGCTCTTGTGCACGGGGCAGCTCCGAGCTCAGTTTTACCTCAGTATCACGATAGAAGCAATCGCTCTGCAGATGCAGAAATCAGTGATTTTGGAGCATCAGTCCAAAACAGGGCAGGTGCACACACCACCACTCCAGCGACCGTCAGATGGCCACACCGCTGCTCGGGCAGCTGCAGTACTGCACACAGCTACAGCTGGGAACGCTACGTCATTTTAACGCACATTTCCTGGAGAAATCCCCCAAACAAAGGAATGTGACTACACAGCGAACCTGCATTATAGAAAGTGAAAAAATCCAGAGTAACAGAGCTCTGGCCTTACCTTGCATAAAGCACAGACACTGTGTCTGAACAGCTGTAGAGATTTTGTAACAGATTTTGAAACCTAAACCCAAGGATTTGAAGGGCTAGAGCAACAACCCAATTCAAGCTTCTCATTTTATTCAGTTGGAAAAAGTGATGAAGTAGTCCAAAAATGCAGTATTATGAAATCAACTTGTGCACTGCTTTTTTCAAGGTGAGGCAGATTCTCTACTGAAAAGTCATTCTACCTTTAAGCAGCACCCAGTTCTCACTCACTGTGACTAGCAGCCAAAATAGTGTGCAGATTGTGATTTTAGTTGTTAAACACACAAGCTCTCTGACACTACTGATGGCTGCTCATTTTTGTGTGCGCCTTGCTGCATCTCACATGCACTCTAAGCTCCTAAGTTCAATTTGCAAATAAAAATGAAACGATTTAAGTTCAAAGGTCCACCAAGTTTAAAAGAAACTGTTCTCTGTGTTAACTCCACCTTGAGTAACCACAGGTGAGGAAGTCACCACTACTTTGGTGTTTATTGTCTGTACAGCTGCTGCCATCGGCACCAACACAAGCTCAGATCCATCCGTAAGTGCACCCTTGATCCATCCACCCTGCATCCATGTACAACCCTGGAGCACAGCTAAGAAGCAAACCTGTTCTTGTCCATCTCACCTCCACGCTCTCATCAGCTACTGGGATGCTGTAGTGTTTTAGGTAGAAATTAAAACAAGCTGTAGCTGAACTAAAAAAAAAATAAAATAAAAAAAATAATGCCCCACATTGGTGGGGTTTTGAAAATGTAAAAAATAAAAGCTGACCTATGTTCTGCACATTTTACAACTCATACCAGTGGGATTTCTGAAAGGCTTGGCCCCACAAACCTTTACTTATGATACAACTGACCTGCCTTGAGCAAGTCCAGCAGGGACAACATTGCTCATAGTAAGCACAACACCTAAATATATTAATTTGCAGGGTCCTGCCATAAATGATAATTAATTGTATCATTCTGCCCCTTCAGCTTACGGATCAAAATTCAGAGTAAAGACCTCTGGGGACAGTAATGGCTAAGAAAAGGCCGCCAAATATTTTGGTTCAAAAGGAGATGGGAGCTGTATTTTTTTTTTCTTTTAAACAGACATATAAAAACGTTTGAAGACAGATCTTTAAAGGATATTTCACTTCTCCAATCTTGGTATTACATCTGGTTAGGACACTGAAATTTTAAAAAGACGATACTGCACATTAACAGTTTCTGGAGTTCGTGACTCCCACCCTGCCTCAGCACAGCCCCACTCAGATCAGCAGGGAAGGGGTCGGCTTCTTGCCCGGCCAAGCCTCCTTTGCGTATTTCTTCTTCTTGGGTTCATTCACAGCCTCGGGATTAAAGACCGCAGGGTTTGGAGCTGGGTTCATGTTCACTGTCGAGGGCACAACAGGAGTCAAGTCCACATCTGGGGCGAGATTGGGGTAGGGCATCGGCAGCCCCCCGATGAGCGCTGTGCCGTGGACGCCATGCGACTGGGAGCCCGCTTCATTGTGAGTTGGAGGCAAACCACCGTATAATCCTCCACTGTAGGAAAAGTTCTGCATCCGCCGTGATGCAGAATCATCTGTGGTCAGTGAGCCTGGACTGTCCAGCCGTTTTTTCTGTAGATTGAAGTATTTAAAGAATTATTCAAACTACATGAAGGAAGTAAGCTATTTAAACTGGGTGCCAATCTAATTTTCACCAAAAAGGCACCCAGACCAGCCACATGTAAAGTGGTTACAGACTATGTCCCAGCCTTTGTCCCAGAATTTCTTCTGGGTTTCCTTGAAAACCACTTAATAATAAACTCTGAAACGTGCACAGTGCAGGAAGACACGACAGAAGTTGAAATTCAGTTTAACTGAGATCAAGTCTGAGCTTCTCTCTACCTCCTGTATACGCTCGCCAGTCCTGAGCTTGTCCTGAACACACGACCAAGTGGGTCTTCAGTCAGTGACACAGACCCTCCTTCCCCTCCAAGAAGAAACTGCACCTTCTACATCATGTGGGTGATTTTGTCCAGCTCTTGCTCATTTGAATCTCCTCCTGCAGTCTGGCGGTTATGTGGAATTATCCTTTTCCGTGCACATTTAGTGTACACCAGCAACAAGTGCAATTGCTATCACACTGGTGCTAAGCTACCCTGAAGTTCTGTGAATCTTCTCTGCTCCCAGCATTTTCAAATTAAACACAGCACTGACAACACGCTCATCTTGGAACAGAGTCTAGACCCTGCTGGTTCTGGTAGACAACCTCATGAAACCTTTAGCACTTACAGTATTTAAACACACCACCGGTTATTTCTACTTGTTATTTTCCACACTTCCCACCATTTTAACTGATGGCTAGAACTACCCTACTGAATTTCTGTGAAATGTTTCTTTTTTGGAGAAAAATATTGCCATTGATCCCACGTGTTATTAAAGAAAGGAGCTAGAGCTGCATTTGAAGGGAAATGGTCAAATCTGCTAAAAAATTACAGTTGTGATACATGAACATGACTTCTGCTTACCAGTAAAACACTTTCCACTTTAGAACATTACGTTTCTAAGGTGCAAGTCATAAAGTGAGTTCATCAATGTAATGTATTTACATATACAATATATAAAATAATGAAAAATATATATATAAAATACATAATGAAAGTTGGGAGTTACTCTGTACCTTAACAGGGACTACTGCTGTCTGTACCATGTTCCTGAAACGCCCGACAGAAGGGTCCACATCCTCTGCAAAGGGAAAAGCAAGGAAGTTTGCAGTGAGAAAACAGGGAAAGACAGAACATTCATCAGGTCAAGGAACCAATGTGAAGAACTGGAAATGGACCTGCTCTCCTCTAAGCATGCCCAGCTAAAGTAAGGAGCTGAGGGGACACCTCTCTCTGTCTCCAGATGGGCTCATCAGATCCTCGGGTAAGAAAGGCTTCCACTCAAACTGAAAATGGGGAATGGTGCCCGGTTTGCACTGCTCAGACAGATGAGAGTGCTGGGCTGAACGCTGCTGCTGAGACGGCACTGCACATGCTCAAAGGCACCACAGCGATGCCAGGAGCCCACTGGGGACCTTGCAGGGAGTCATAAAAATTCAACGTAGAGTTTCTGAAAGTCTGAAAAAATGACCTTTTTTGTAATGTGAGTGACTGCTGTTCTCGTTATGATGTTCTGAGCACTAAATTGCATAATCTTATAAATCAAAATGGTTATTCGGGATGGTATACACTGCCAAATGAAACTAGCTCCAGACTATATTTTACAATGCACACTCATTAATAGGCTACTCTTATTAACAGGAATATTATCCATATAAAATATCATTAAGCAGTGCCATTAATATCAAACAGCTAAGAGAGCAAAAGGACTAATTAGGAATTAAAGTGACTAATTATGAATTTGATATTATGAATAGTGATATTATAGTGACATATATATCATATATTATTATGATAGTGATAGTATGAATTTGATACATCTTCAGAAGCATTGTTTTGAATGACTTGTTTCTCATATGCAGACAAGTAGCTTGAGACAAATATTCACCAGGGGAATATTAGGGGAAGCATTAAGGGAGAAATGAAAAACAAGTTCAGTACCCGTTTAGACTCTAAAGAAGACAAAAAATTTAATACACTTTCCTCTTTTTGGACCCATGAGGTCTTTCCAACATCTGGCAGAATGCTGAAGAGTAAGGCTGGCTGTGTTAACCCTGTCCTGCACAAATCATGCTGGTATTTTACAGGTAGAAGAGACGAAACAGAGAGAGGTCAAAGACTTAAGTGAGATGTGTGGCAGCTTCTCTGAAGTAGAAGATCCCAAACATTGAGTGTCAAATTTCTGGTTTCCTTATCCATATGCAGCCATAAGGAATCCCTATAAGACTACTGGAATGAAGGCCTTAAAGGCATCCACTCAAGATTAAAGCAACCTGCTTACCTGGATTGATGATTTCATCATCATCACTGAACGTCACTCTGGAGTTCTTCCTTTTCCTCTTTGGTCTCTGAATATCCAAGTTCCCTTCCTCGATGGTTAGCGTGGAAATTCTTTTGTTGTGGGCTGTATTAAACTCTGTCAGGTTCTAAGGACAAATTTGGAGATGAAGTGGTTTAAGGAACTAGTGTATGAATCTTAGGAATAGGAAGGGACCTTGAAAGCTCATCCAGTCCAGTCCCTGCCACAGCAGGATCACCTAGACTGGGTCACACAGGAACGCATCTGGGTGGGTTTTGAATGTCTCCAGAGAAGGAGACTCCACAACCTCTCTGGGCAGCCTGGGTCATGAAGTCTGAGATATTCATGTACTGTGCATATCAAAAGATCACAGCACACTGTTTAGCTTCAACTTTAGACCTCTAGGAACAAAGAGTGCTCCTGTGCTGCACCAGCTGCCCAAGAGAGGTTGTGAAGTCTGCAGAGATATTCAGGGCTTGACTGAGCAAGGTCCTGGGCAAGCTGCTCTGGCCGACCCTGCGTGTGCAGGGAACTGAACCAGATGGTCCTGAGAGGTCCCTGCCAACATCAGCAACCCTGTGAGTGCCACACATGCTGCTTTCTCCCCCTTCACTTGGTAACTGTAGAAACAGGGCAGTGTTCACTGTTATCTGGCAGTGAGGAACAGCATAGGGAATCACCCCTGACTGGGGGTTATTTCACTTGGTAACTGTAGAAACAGGGCAGTGTTCACTGTTACCTGGCAGTGAGGAACAGCATGGGGAATCACCCCTGACCGGGGGTTATGTTATTTGAAGAGCACACCCTTGGGAAGCCTTTGTGAGAAGCCCATTGGAACAGCAGGTCACCGAGCCTGCCAAGCAGCGTGACCACAGCCTTATCATGGCAGAACAAGACAGTTTGTGCGAACTGTAGAAACAGGGCAGTGTTCACTGTTACCTGGCAGTGAGGAACAGCATGGGGAATCACCCCTGACCGGGGGTTATGTTATTTGAAGAGCACACCCTTGGGAAGCCTTTGTGAGAAGCCCATTGGAACAGCAGGTCACCGAGCCTGCCAAGCAGCGTGACCACAGCCTTATCATGGCAGAACAAGACAGTTTGTGCGTATCTGCCAGCAGAAGACAGGCTGAGATATTAAGGACCTGAAGCTAAGCAAACAAGTGGAGAACGCTCTCCGTTTGGCTGGAAATGCCACCTGGGTACAACACGCCATCATACTCACGTCAAGCTCTGTCTCCTCCTCTGGCAGGCCCAGCAAGCCCTTGAGCTCTTCATCTTCACCGCCCATTTTCTCATCTCCTTTCGTATCTGCCAGCAGAAGACAGGCTGAGATATTAAGGACCTGAAGCTAAGCAAACAAGTGGAGAACGCTCTCCGTTTGGCTGGAAATGCCACCTGGGTACAACACGCCATCATACTCACGTCAAGCTCTGTCTCCTCCTCTGGCAGGCCCAGCAAGCCCTTGAGCTCTTCATCTTCACCGCCCATTTTCTCATCTCCTTTAACCGCTGACGGCAGCGTCTGAGGCTTCTCCCGCAGAGTGTATGCCCGCGTGGAAGCGCCAAATGAAACTGTGGAGTCAATGGGTATCTGTTGGGGTTTGTGAGCTTCCAAGCGGATATGACCCAAGAACGTGCCATGTGCTGAGAACACCAAAAGGCAAAATACTCTGGTTAGTCATCAGCTTGGGCTCACAGTGTTTGAATTCAAGTCTTGAGAAGTTTAGACACTGTACATAGTTGCTCCAAGACACAAGTCACTGCTGAAAACATTGGTTGTGTACATTCTCCCTACCATCTCACAAGCTAAGATAACACGCATTAGAATTCTTCAAAAAGTCATGGAAATAAATGACAAACACCATTTCCTTTCTGGATTCTTGTAGGTTCCAATGTACCATGTCTGGAATCAGTTCCTCAGTGGAAAAAAACCAGTATATCAGGTTTTAGATCTTAGGAAACCACCCTCAGAAGGTAAAGCTTCATTAAGATCGTGAAGGTAAGGCCAAGTTACTTTCCTTCTCTCCCATAACCTATTAAGAATCTAGAAATGTTGTCTTACACACCAAGTGAGGCAGATGAAAGCTGACTGGAACAAACGCTCCTTTGCTCCTAACCCTTGCTTTCCCTAGGACGCTAATTCAGATTGTAGTCATCTCTCCACACAGTGCAAACAACAACAGGAAAAAGTACCTCAGATTCAGAAATGTTTAAGCACTGAAATACTGTACTTCTACCTGGTTAAATGTCACACTACTTACTGCTGTTTAGATCTATGAGAAAAACTCTCTTGAGATGTTTGTGATAGACCAAGGCAGCATGGACCCGAGAGCAAGACTGGTGGTCAATGGTAAAATCGCACAGATCAGGATTTCTCCCGAAGAGATAGTATTTCTTCTCATCAATGATGAGTTTCTGAGGTAGAATATCAAACAGAGAAGCATATTAGACTCCTATGATCTTTTGGATCTTCCTGAAAAAATTCAAACACATGAATCAGCAGAACAAATGCAAAACAAAGCATCAACATCGAATCTGTATTTCAGTTTTGTCTCAACAGTGTTCAATACAAAAACTCAAGTCCTCTCTCTGTAAAATCAGAGCAGCTGAATATGGAAGAGCCCCAGTTATTCCCTTCATTAACAGCTGATACAAGACAGCCTGGAAAGGACAATAATTCTTTACAGTATGACATGGTTTCATACAGAGATTCACTCTCATTGCCAATGACTTTTACACATTCCTCGAGGTGCATCACTTTGGGCCTTGCCTAAGCCAGGAATCTGTGCTAAATGATCTCCAGTCATCAAAAATATATTTCTGTATAGAAAAGAGATATGCAAGAGATTTCTCTATACAAGAGATTTCAGACCTTCATAATACAGATGTAAAGCTATACTGTATTCATGTACTGCAATATGAATCCATACTGATCTATTCAAGCAAGCCATTCATTTTAGGCTTTTCATCTTTTCATCCTAATTCTAATCTCTTTTTCAAACAAGATCTTACATACTGTAATACCGCAATACCAGTTACAGAAACCATCTCTGATGAGCCAAGGAGCACACTGACACAGCCCTACAGCATACACAGCATATTTCTAATAACAGTGTTGCTGGAAGGGACTTCTTGCATCGCCTTCTTCCTCCCCATATCCCGAGATCTCAATCTAACCTGCGTCTTCTTGCTTCCATTTGCGCAAGTCAAAGGCTGTTGGTGCATCACAGATTTGTTAACAGATGGCTCCTCCTACTTTCTGAAATATTTACCAAAACCCACACAATGTTTCAATAGCATGATCAAGGAATGCTGATGATTCGTTTTCCACCAGAAAAAACTCCAGATCTTAGTTCAGGAAAGCGTTGCATTCCCAAGATGGTCTGAGCTGAATTAGCACTTTGCTAGAGGAGGAGGATTTCTCCTCTCTCCCTCCTTCCATTCACAGCTACACGATCCTCTTGGTTGCACTGCCACGCATCTGAGCGGAGTTTTCAGGTTCCAAAGCACTTTTTGCAGTGTTCTCTGCTGCTGTTTTAGTGACTGAACCCATTTGCCTGCAGTCAGACGCGTGTCCTGGGTGGTTCAATGGATTCCCTGCACCAGGACTGGGTGATGTGGAAGGACCCCCATCCCTGTAGCAGCGTTCTGGGCCATCAGCTCTTTGCTGCTCAGCTTTTCCGCTGTACAAACCATGTGCTCAGCTGGAAAGGTCTCGTGTATTGGACTGGTTTGAGGTAGGTGGTTTGGGTGCGGTTTTGAGCTGTCAGGACTAACACAAGGAGCTCTAGGATAGTTTCTTATTCTGTGGCACTACCAAGTCATAGGCAGAAAATAAGGAGACAATTTGGAATAAGACACTGTATTTATATTCCTCTGCCTTGTCTGCAAGCAAAAAAAAAATAAAAATCACACAGATCTCATTTTCTGTTCCAAATCACCTTGCAAAGTTACATCCATTTTACCTGCCCACCAATGATGAACTTCAAGGTTTTTAGCACTGCTGCTAAAATGTTACCTTCCCACTGATTTGTGTTCAGATTTCGCCCCCCCTGATGCGTGCTGCATTTTCTAGGTTGGGTTTCTCATTGTTCTGCTGAATATTTGTCAGCCCCCACGCTGCAAGTTCTCATAACCTGGCATTCAGTAAGAAGTGTTTAATTTGTTTCTGCATGTTTATTCTCTCCTTTAGGTCACTAGAATAATTAATTGAACAACTCAACTCCATACTAGTACACATTGTGAAGACTTTATGATTAATTGGTCCCTTAATAGTACCCTTAGGTACTATTTGCTAATGTCTTACTCCCAGCTAACTCAAGGAATACATTTCACAAATGCTGGTTTACCCAGATGCTCCCCTCAAAGTACAAGACACTGATAAGGAGCCTGCACTGGTTTGTGGTTTCCTCCTTTCCTCCAACCAGTCCTTTCTGGTTGAATATTATTTCCCTTTTTCAATTCCACCTGCACACAGACCAGTCTCCTCGCTGCACGTTCTTCATGCCATTATGCTTCTCCCTGCAAGCCTTCATCAACACCTTTCATTCCACTCGTCTCACTGAAATTTACCCTTAATATTCCAGTTGTTTCACCCAGCTATTAAGGTGAATACCACGGCACGGTTACAATCCATCTTTTGAGAAATCCTGGTCAGGTTTTCTGGGGATTCAACTTCATAACAACAGATTTCTGTCCAGTATTATGGACCTTACTCATTCAGTTCAGCACTCTGAATCTTTTCAAATTCAATACCTTTGCACTTTGATGCACTTTATGATTCCACTTTGTAAGAAAGACCAGCACTAATTTTTCCTTTTAGCCATGTGCTTTTGAAAAAAAATCCTATGTAAACACAGCTATGATACAAACAAGTGGCTCTTCCGTAGCTGATTCATTACTCGTTTCAGTGCTCAGCTCCGCAGCTGTTGTGATTTCAAGTACGATAAAAGTTGGTCCAACATTTTTTTATTCTTGTCTACAACTGAAACCAAAAGAAGTGTCCTGTAAGTTTTCATTTCACCTGTTACACAAAACAATACCACTGTGACCTGACAGCATTTCAAGAGATTTTGCAAAGACACAAACAAATTCATGATTACAAGTCAACAGAGAAAATAATTGTACTGCCTTAACTTCAAGATAATGCTTCTGTGCCTCTGAGCTATAACCCAGTGTTCTTCTTTATACACTGAGCTTAAACACTTCATGGCTTGTTTTAATGTTGCACTTTTCAGACCCAGCAATCACAAGGTACCTCAGGCCTCTGCACAAGGCCTGGGATACGGATGGCTTGGTTAGTATCAAGTGCTCAGTAAGCCGCAAGATTTAAGACCGTTCTTTCTTGGTTATTGCATAAGACATAAAAATGAAAAACTATTTGACACGTACCAAACAGGGAAACGGATGGCTCACACTCAAAAGCTGTTAATTTGCTGCACAGCTCACACACACACACACAGTGCGCTGTCCCACGTAACTCTCAGTTGAGAGGGCTGAAGCCATCACCCGTATGCAGTGTGCAAGGCCACAGAGCAGCCACAGATGTTGCATGGAAAAGACTGCAACAACTTCCCCACTGAGCCCATCCTCTGATCCTCACCTCAGCACGCAGCGGTATCACAGCAAGGCAGAGCTCTGTGCTGCACGGGCAGGAACCTGTGCATGCAGCACACCCTGCACACTGAACAGCAGCCACGCTGCATGCACCGACCTCAGCAGCGCTGACAGCCAACAGCAGACAGCAGGTAAAACAAATTCCAGAGCCATCTGCGACCCCTGCGTGATGATGTCCTCTACTGAGGACTTGAGTGGATTGGCAATAGCTGTAACAGAGCTTTGCATGACAGCAGAAAGAACCTCTTTGAGGTTACCAAGAGGCGATGGCAGGAAGAGGGAATCGGGATGTCTGCACCACCCAGTGTCCCACTGCGGACAGACCTCAGGTTTACAAAGACAACTTGGGCCTCCTGTGGGTTCAGAAGCTTTGTGCAGCACAGCTTCAGCGTCTGACACAACCAGGACGATGTTCCCGACTGTCAACTTACAAACACCAAATGTGCTCATCCATTGCCAAACCCAACAGTGTATCCTCAGCTTCCATATGGCATTTTGCTGCCTTTTTGTTGTTTTTGTTTGTTTTTCAGTCCTGAGCAGGATTTCCATGATAGACATTTGCTGAGCACCTGAGGGCTCCATAGAAACTCTGACATCCTACAGTTCTCTCTTCATACTCAAAAATCCAAAAGAAACATGACCAGAAAAAACTCAGCTCATAGAAGTCTCCCAGGTG